CCTAAATCTCCCCTCTCTTAGTTTAAAACCATTTCCCCTTGTCCTATGTCCCCTATCTGCCCATGGAAAAAGTCTCTCTCCTTCCTGTTTCTAAGCTCCCTTCAAGTACTGGAAGGCTGCAATGAGGTCTCCTTGGAGCCTTCTCTTCTCCAAGCTCAACAAGACCAGCTCCCTCAACCTTTCTTCCTAAGAGAGGTGCTCCAGCATGGAATGGCTTCCCCCAGGCCTCGCAGTTGGGGCAGACACAGCTGCCTGCTGGCTTCCCATCACCCAACTGCATCTCCCCACCAGTATCCCCATCCAGCAGTCCCCAGGGAGCAGCCTCTGCTTTGCCTATCAGTCTCCCACCTCTCCCCAGGGGATCAGGCTGAGAAGGCTTTGCTTTGTTGGCTGTAATCTTATCTCCCACACCCAAACCGTCCTACCACCGCCTGTTCACAGCATCCCCTCTCCCACCGGGCATCCTCCAGCAGCTCCCGATGGACACGCAGCCACTTTGCTCCCTGGGGTATGTGGGGAAGCGTGAGGGGCTGCATGGCCACCAACCCCAGTCCCACTGGCCAACTCCTCAGCTCGTGTGGTTGCCCCACTCTCGCCACCTCCCAGGGCTGCCGGGGGCTGAGCCAGTGGTCGGAGGGAACATTTGGTTTTGATTTTGCACACCGGGCACAGCAGGATGCTCCAGCCCCTCTCCAGAGCCTGACGCCAGAGCAGAGCAGGAGAGGGGAGAAAGGGGCTCTGCGGGGGCTCATGGAGAGGGAGTGGGCTGCAGAAGGGGATGTGGGGGGACACAGCCCCCCAACCCAAGAGCTGCTGAGTGGGAGCTCAGTGGAGGTGTTCCCTCCCCACCACACTGATAGGTGAAGAGCTCCCTTACCTGCAGACAATGGGGTGACCCTCAGGAGATGTTTTGTGCCACAAAGCAGGACCAGATGGGCTGGAGATGAGACAGCAAGCGCCACGAGCCTCCCAACACCATCCCCTCTCCCCCAGAGACCCCCACCACGGAGCACAGCAAAACCAGCCCCCAGCACCGTGTGATTGCCCCACGCTCCCACCATTGTCCAAAGGTGTTTGGCTTTCCCAGAGCCTGGCAAGCAGGAGGGTCTCCCAGCGCCCCCTCCCCAAAAGCTGGGCTGGGTTGGGTTACAGCGACTCAGCAGAAAGGAATGCAATCACAGCTGGGGCAGGAGGAGCCTTCAAAGGGCTGGAACTGAGCTGGAGGGGGAGGTTTGGGGGTCAGAGCCAGGCGGGAGGGGAGAAACACTGCAGGAAGCATGGGAAAGGTGGTAGGACCATGGTGGGTCCAAGAGAGATGTCCCCATGGTGGAGGACAGGAGCTGTCCCTCAGCCACTCCCTGCCACCACCCCTGTTTTCTGCAGCCCAGGGCTGTGGCGAGGATCCGGCATCTCCCGCAGCGCCCGGCCGAGCCGCTCCCGCCGCAATCACAATTTAATTACCGCTCTCGGGAAATTCAGAGTCTGGAGTCGGCAGGGCCCTGCCTGACCTTGATGAAACTGCTAATTACAGCTGGAGGCGGGAGGGGGGAGAGCACAGTGCGCCTGGGCCCCCCCAAAATT